TTTCTGAAATAGAAGAATACTTTGACAGCTTTTTTGTACAAATTGACATTTGCTAAATCAACCTTACCACTAAGTTTAAATTCCAGACCCAGATATTTGTGATTAGTAACTATATTCGTTTCTTCATTATTGTAATAAAATTGTATATATTATTTAACAATCTGCCGTTGTATTAAATTATATCATTATGGCAGTATTTACATCTAGATTCCATTTATTGGAATATATATTTAATTTATTAAACATAAATATTGTAACCCTTCCGTTTCTTATACTAGTACTAAATCATGTGCATACAGTAAACAGTTTATATCTTTCTTCTCAAACTTTACTGGTTTGCAAGATTTATCTAGCATATGGGGGTAAATCATTTAAAAAAAATTAAATTACACCCTTGTCTTACACCCTGAGTGACTTAAAAAGGTCTAGTTACTCCCCCTAATTTTATACTTTAGTTTACATCTTCATACATAAATGATAACACTTGCCATTGATATTGTTTTTGTTAATAATTTATAATACTTCACTTTACGCCAGACACTGTTAAAAGCTATTCGAAATCAACAAAGCCAACAAACACTTTATTTATTTGTTTCTCGTGCGTTTCATTATTATTGATGTATTTATCTATATTTGTTTTTAGAATAAATTAGTTATTTGTTGTTGTACAACCTGGTCTGAAACCAGCATGGGTTTAAGATGTTATTGCACTAAACATAGTTATGAAGTCTATTATTGAGCACAGATGTAAACAGCATAGCCAGACAACTTTAAAGGGCTATCCCTCTATAATTATTTGGAATATTTTTATCACCTGATTTGTGTATTGGTTTAATATAACTGGTACGCCAACTATCTGTTTAAGTCTTATAATGGTATTAAAAAGTCATAATTGGTTTAACTACGGCAGTTTGCCAATCTATAATCATTTCATTAGTGATTCTATCATTGTTGATTTTTTTTCTTTAATTGCTTCAGTTATCTCATCTACAGTAATTCCCCCTTTTTAATTTTTTATTTGTTTCATTAATTTCTAATGCCTTAATTTCCTCATCTAAAATTGAATCATTCTTACACACCATATTTAAATTTGAAAAATGTTTAATCCATTCAACGTCACTGATACTTTCACTAATATCATTGTTAGATGGTAATGAATTAGTTTTTTTATTTTTTTTACTAATGTTTCGTTGGATTATTTCTTTCACTTTATTTCTCATTATGTACTCTCCTTTTCAGTCTAATTAGTTTTTTGCATTCTTTTTTCAGTTGAAAAAATCTAGACCTTATGTACGGTTCTCTGGGATGTTTTACTAATAATTAAACCCATGTCAGTTAACTCTCGTTTAAGTATGTAACATGGCTTATCATGCCATTTATTTGTTTGTTTGTTTGTCTCTTTTTATTATTATTTTTATTTTTTTGGTCTACGAGCCTGGGTTTTAAGCGACATGTCTGCTATAGTATAAAACATTATTTAGTGCCCGGATAGCATGATTAATATTACGTTTTGTATAATCCATATGTAAATAAGATGTAATTTTGGATCTGACTGCTGCATTATTCATTGCTGTCTTGTAATTATCAATTGAGGATGATTCCCAAATATAATTTATAGGTAATGGTTTTAAGCCCATGTTGTTATTGACATGTCTCAAATGATCTAGGTAGTTTAAGTGTGAATGACAATGGGCAGTGATCAGATAAATGTGATACTGGGTGTACTATCAGGGGTAAATTCTCCTACTCTCGGGTTCTCTTCACGTGTCAATTGGGGGGGGGGAATCTCGTCTCGTTTCTCTATCTTGTCCCCTTGAGATATGGGATCGGGAAAGTCACTTATACTTTACAGTCAAATAAGGCACACACAACGAAATACGTTTCAACTCTCGTTAGTCGGTCAATCGAGCACTCTATAAGACACAGCGCCCTGGGGAAAAATCCCCAAGACTTTCGCAAGGCTGTCCCAAGACTCTTTTAGACTGCGTCAAGGCTCGCCCCAAGACTCTCCAGGACTGCACTACGACTGTGTCTGTCGTGGAGTATTCGTCAAGACCAACTCAAACTCTCTTTATTCATTTTCTAACCAATTACAATGCAGTAAAAAGACTCCAGGGCGTAACCTTCAATCATAAAGCCAATCACACTAAGTACTGAATACGTCATATCTTTTGATTAATCGTTCACTACATTAATAACTATGAATACCAACTGTCAGAATCGATAGAATAGCGACGGTTATCTCGTAATTAGTTCCAAATCACTGAGCCAAGTTCCGTCCAAAACTTCAAATAGGCCTAAACGATGACAGACATAACACAGCAATTCGCTAATAATCAGCTAATTAAGTCGGTTAACAGATACGCAAAAACAAATTCATGACAGTACTTTCATGTATTGAATTTTTGCAATGATGTAATCTACTAAACTGGAGCCGTTATATGCATGGCAAGTGAAACTGCCGTATGAAATCCAATGTTTCGCCCATTAACAATTTTCAAGTGTGTTGACAGACAAATATCGATTAGTTTTTTCCCATATGAATTTCTCATCATCAATTTTACAATTATTTGGCAGTGGTATATGATTTACAGAATCATTCAAAATGTAGTCTTCTAATCTTGATGTTCTAGCATTCACATCCCCTATCAGAATGATATCTCCATGAGATGAGCGAGTTGTTATATTCTTCTCAGTCTGCTCAAAAAGTGTATTTTCTTTATTAGTAAATATAGAGGGGCTTTCTGGTTAAAAATATACCACACAGATATTGTGTCTGGTACGGTATTATTTGGTCCGTAAATGAGCCATGTGTGAGACATCTGGAACACTGCTATGTTAGTTGGTCACTGTATGTCAACCACGTGAGAAGACATCTGGAACACTGCTATGTTAGTTGGTCACTGTATGTCAACCACGTGAGAAGCCATCTGGACCACTGCTATGTTAGTTGGTCACTGTATGTCAACCACGTGAGAAGCCATCTGGACCACTGCAGTGTTAGTTTATCACTATATGTGGGCCATGTCAGAAGTCATCTGGAGCACTGCTGTGTTATTTAATCTCTGTATGTGAGCCATGTGAAAACCATCTGGAGCACTGCTGTGTTATTTGGTCTCTGTATGTGAGCCATGTGGGAAGACATCTGAATCACTGCTGTGTTATTTGACCTTAGTGTGTGAGCCATGTGAGAAGACATCTGGAGCCATGTGAGAAGCAATCTGAACCACTACTGTATTACTTGGTCGCTGTATGTGGGCCATATTAGAAGACATTTGGAGTTTTGAAGTTTTATTTCCAGGTAGGAAACACAAATTGACAAAATTGAATTGAAATATAAAGCCACCAAAACGTCCCTCTTGTATTAGTTCTGGTTACCGGCTGACCAAGGACACAACAGAATTCAATATAATCAGGGGTGGCTCACAATGTACAAATGAGTGTTACAAGAGATTATTATGTAGACCAGTTCATACACAGCTGCAAGGAACACGTTCAAATAAATTATATAAACATTTAATATGCACGAACGAAGATACGCAACGCATGTAACCTAAAATCTACCAAACAATAAACAAACAAAGTTTTGGTTGATAAAATAATATAGTATTGTGACATATAATATAAATCCAAAAATAATGGTACATTAAATATATTGATAATTTTCACACAACAATGCAATTCATTACAATAAACCCCAACCCTGAACTGAGATACCTGGTGGTATTTGCGTGTACGTGTTTCCAGACTTTCAACATTCACCATAAAGTAGGCGTAGACTGGCGCCGACGCAGTTATCATAGTCACCTCTCGATATAATCCTGTACAGATTGATGGTCTCCCTATACCTGCACATCAGCGCACAGACACTGGGGCGTAGAAAGTTCGCCAGGAACAAAACACACGCCACAACTCGCTTGGTTCAACAGTCACCTGGAAAATCATCATGCAGCAGTTTTCATAGTCACCAGTCCTTGCATAATGACATGCACAATGGATACCAATAAATTCCTTCGAAAATTAATATACACGTGTTCGTTTAGTCAGATCGCATTCCAGTCGTTGGTTTGAAGAAATGTACCTCATCTTGGTTGAAGTTGGTTCATTACCAGTGCAGTCGACAGGTTTGTACAGCAGGTAGCACTGAAAGCAGTAGGTTTGAATTTCGCACAAAACGTTTTTTTCATATAGTATTTATCAGATGTTATTAAGTGATGTTTGATTCATCCTCTTCTTCTCTAATTCGTATAATTATTCCACCTGCATCTATTCTCTTGATCCATCAGATTCTTACTTCACAATGGTAACGTTGCGCATTACTTATTTAGCCTTCTCTGAATTAAGTTGCACTAATTTGTATCATAGTATTTATCTAATACGGAAGCCCATTCGGGCCAATTCAAAGCTTAACAAAAAAGGAAATATCTCGACATTCCGATCTAGCATCTCGAAATTTCGAGATGTCAAGTCATAATTTCGAGATGTCATGTCGAAATTTTGTAATTTCGAGATATTTTTTTACGCTTTGAATGTGGCCCTAATGGGTTACCGTAATCTATAGACGAATGTCTCCACACACTTTGCAATGCATGAATTGTGAAAGATGTCGTGTCAATAAAACACATAAGTGTTTGTTGAAGACGCAAAGATACAAACATATATAAAATTACTTGTACCTGCTTTTCATGGTTATATGGGTGAATTTCATATTATGTTGTACTCTATGAAAAACTGAATAATGTAAATAAGGATCGGATTACCTTGAGTATATATGAATTGATTTTTACAAATGAATTATTGTGTACATAATATGTATTTAATATCGTTTTTAAAATAGCATGCAAGCAGCCGGGATAACCATTCGCAATGCAGTAGAGTTATAATCTGTGTACACGAATTGTAAATAGTTACATAAGTATTTTCTTGGGAATATTCTGTGGACAAATCATGTAAACGTTTTTAAGAGACTGCCTAGTCATACACTTCTTGTTCGGTTATAATTACATAGATATATCTGTTATTTCATCATCGCGTGTAAAGCGATGATAATTTCGTCGACGTCTTCGCCTAACGCAGTTTATACTAACAATCACGAGTACAGCGATGGCAGCAAAGAATAATCCAGAAATAAACCATATAATTTTATCTGAAACAAGTAAATGGCATTACTGTTCATGTATAATAAAATACAAATCCAAAATATAGGTTGCAACAGTTTTACAGATATGTAATTGTTATTCTATTTCATATGTAATGCTTACCCGTATTTCCCGGATCATTATTTGATAATGTACATTTCTTCATTTGACTGACAGCTGTTATTTCCCTTTCACGTTCTACTGGGTCAAGTGGTAGCCCTGAGACCAAACAATGTCAAAGTACTATTAGCGTATAAATACGATTGAACACACATGTATCTAAGACAGTCACCGTCACACAAACATATCAAATCGAACTGATACTATGTGGGTATATGAGTTGTTTTTTGTCACACTGATGATTATTATTCATGAATGGGGTAGCGTCCTGTTTCCGTCACATTGACGTCCGAAGTGTGGCCAACAATTACAGTCAGAATTATATTTCCATGCATGTTTATCAAGTGCATCAAGTTTTGGGGCGGAAAGTATCCGATGGGGTTCACGTGATATCATTTTAGAGCACGATGGCATCCTCTATCGGTGTAAATTTCATATCTTACCAAATTCATCAATGTCATCATAGTCGTATCCAAAATGATCGGCGTTCTTGAAAAAATCGCTGTGGGTCCGTTCAGGAAAGAAAGGTACCATATAGGAATAACGATTGTGACCTAATGGCGTCGATGTGTCTGGAAATTGATCAGCAGTGACATTGTGTCTGGAACAAATAAGCTTGACTATCAAAAGATGTTCAAGTTGAATAAACAATAAACAAGCAATGGCAATTCATCATTTTATGTTTTGTCGTTTTACTGTATAATTTCTGACTTCATGAACGACGACTTGGTGCTGAAATTTATCACATTGTTTACAAAAGCAGTGATGCCAACCTGTCAAAATCATGTACTTCGATGGTCAAAAAACCAACAACTTGTATATTTTTCTACCCCGTGTACTTTTGTTATTCAATGATATAAGTATTCATAATGACATTGATATTTTTTTTTTCATAATTGTTTGGTACATAAAATAAAACAACACAACACAGAGATATGCATATACAAAGCATACTACAATAATTTATTTTTACTCTTTACAGATACAACCCTTGTGCCGTAAATTTAGTACTCCGCGCTACATGGGGGGGGGGAAGTGGGGGCACATTTAAGAAGGTTCTGGACAAGTTGAATATTATATGTCATCTTTTATAATTGTTATGGAATAATGCGTTTTGGAAAACGAAAAACACAATTTGGGTCTCCGGACAATGTTTCGAGGAACAAGAATTCAAAATGTGATGAAAAATTGTCAAACATAGTATTTTTGCACTGGTTTTCATGACAAAATTATTTCTTTATATCCCGATTTTTTATCGGTGACATGAGGTAAAGAAGTTACATATAATTATTGATATGAATCCTAATATTGTACAAACATCTCAAAAAGAAATTATTGTTTTATATTATATGCAAGGAAAAATTATTTCCCACAATGCATTGGATATATGCACAGCAACATGCTCAGTAATGCAAAAATTCGATCCTAATAGCTCCTTGAATTCGACCTTAAAAGCAACAAAATCTATTAACAAACACAACCATTCAAAGAAATCAGACTGAGTGAAATAAATCTCATATGTACGCATCTGTGTTTATTTCGTACTTACCGACGCAACCATTTCTCAAATATTCTATCAACATTGGAATGATGCAATATAAAGATCGGATCATTTGGTGCGATAGGGACGTCTGACATTGTACCATTCAAATAAATATGAACTTGATTGTGTAATTGGTGTACCCTCGGAAGACCAGTCTGGTTCTCCGAATCGCCAAATCCTGTAAGGTATTTAACAATGACAGTGTTTTTAATTCAGTCATAATGAAATACTGCACGTTTAATATCAATAGAAGACGTGCTAATGTCGAATATTGTACTTTCAACCATTTTATGCCGCTGAAGTCAGTACTGGGTCAAAATGCTGGTAGTTCAGATGTTTAGGCAATATGCGATGTTGGATGACATCAAAACATCATTGATATCGCTCGCAGAATTTCCGCTTCGGCTGTTACTGACAGTATATTGCCCCTCCACGTTGTGTTTTCTGCCCTCAGCCGTATTCGTTTAGAAAGCTCGATGGGCGCTTAAGGACTTAAATCGAGTTTATATTCTTCTAATATATACGCGTATATGCTAATCACGCTGTAATCAGCTGAATGCTCTACATTTGTTATTTGAACTGTTCAAGCCAAATTATTTACATTTATCATTTTGGTTTATCCTGTTGCTCACGAAATCCAGAAACAAATGTATTTACACCGAGCTTTTTTCGCACAAAAAATGCGTCAAATAATAGTATAAGATGGGTCTTTATGGTTGTCCCGGCTTATTGGGAAATTCATACGAATACTATTTAAAATTATGTTTGTGCATGCTTTTATTGGTTTTATCCAATAAAAGTATCCTTTACTGGGTCTAAAAGTCGATGACTGATGTCTCAATCATTAATTATGTAACACTTTCAAAAAATAAACGTGATAAATGCTGTTACTTTATTTAATAGGTTGAATATTCGCGGACGACCCTAAGGCGTTGCAAGGAAAAAATAAAAAAAATCCATTTTCGCATATTTTGAAGACAGTGCGACGTACTTGAGTAAAACAAAAAGGAAGACGTGAAGTGTTATGTTCAAATCAGTGGTCATGTGACACTTTGCAAAATAAACAACATGTCTCGAATGACCTTATACATATAATACGTAAGGGTAATACGGTCCACTCCGTCCAAGGCAATTACAAATATACTCACCTTCCAAAACATTACGAAAACTACAAGGAGAATGTGTCCAATTATTGTAGACCGGAACGTAATTAGTTGGAATTACGTCATAGTCTGTAAGACTGAGGGCGTAGTACACAGCTTCTTTACTCGGTAGAACCTGGAGTTCTGGGGACTCGTTCCCTCCAGGATTACGCTGGATGCGCGGAGTGTTTAAAGACGGTCTGGTATTGGAACACAGCTCGCCATGTTGTGTAAGGTTTTCGAAGTCATAACAAATTGCTGGCCAGTTTGCGAACGTTCCAGTTACCGTGAAGTTGTGTAGAGAATCTGTAGATTTTCCGAAATACGTGTCAGTACATATAGTACAGTTTAGTTCTCCAGCCCAGTCCCAGTAAGGTAGAGCGAACTCTTCGTTGTTAGAAACCTGTGTCGCGAAAGAAAGAAAATATTTATACTGTTACATGAATACGTTATAGTGTGTAGGTGGAAAGCAAAATGATTTAATAATTAGGTCAACAGGTCTGGGTATAGCTTTATATTTTAAAAAAATCGGATTTATTCTACTACCCCACAAATAACATCTATCAATATATGGTATGGTGTTAACACATTGTATCATGGATTATTAATGGTTGTGTGCGACATAAAAAAAATAACGCGCCACGGGCAGTAACTTGCGGCCATCTTTATTTTAACACTCGGAACCGTGGTTTATAGAATGCAGACACCAATGGCAAGTACTGAAGCTGACAAATTAGCATAAGCATTACATTTCAGAAGGCGGATATCTCCTGTGACAATACGAGATTCTTAGAAAGGCGGTTGTTTTCCTTGGACTGCGTGCGATTTCCTTCTGACGTTTACATCACTACTAAATTTGGTTTGTGAACTGTATTGATTGAAAAGAAAGTGAAACAAATACTTGAAATAACACGTTCAAATTGAGTGAGCACTGTCACAAGCTGAGTGATCAGTTTGGTTTAATGACGCATGTACTTAAACAACATTGGACATACTCGTGAGTCAGTTATACAGACCATAGACTCACCTTCTGTAGCGCCCTCTCCCATAGAAGCATAAAATATCTGTGCCAAGTTGGAAATCCAGGTCCACCATGGGCGAAATCTGCTGTGACGTCATGAATGGACGTGTTAGCTTTGCTGGTGCCCCGGATGTTATCTCTTGACACATAGTAGTGATACCAAGTATATAAATCATAGACGGATATTTCGGTGAACATTGGTTGCGTGTCATCGTCCATGTTTCTGTACAACGTTGTTGGGACCATGTAGTCACTGATTGTGTTCTTTGCCTTGATGAGGTAAAGTTTAAACTGTTCTACTTCTTCCACCGTCATTTTCAAGATATTACGTCTGATTCTGGTTGTCTGGTTTGTGCAGTTTTTTCCACTCCAGCCGAACTTACAGTCGCTACAGTCCGGTCCATCGAAATTACCTAAACAAATCAAAAATAAAGAAAATACTTAAAATACATATGTTGGTTTAATTTGTATTTTTATTATCTGAAGATTATGTAAAATATGATTATTTATCGAAATATTGTGTTTCACTTATCGGCGAAAGAAGCTTACATATTGTTCACTCCTTAAAGGGTGGCAGTCGTCGTGCCGCGTCCTGTTCGATATGGGACTCATAGCGACGTATACAACGCGTGTAAAATACACTGTTTATTTACATGAAATTCGAACACGCGCTGCGCGGCGACTACCGCGCATTAATATTTACTTACCGAGACATTTACAACTTCGATTGAAAAATGTAGTTGGCCACTGAAAACGATCAAAATCACCAGTAAAACCATCCGTTGAATCGACAATATTGACAACTATGTCATTGCAATATCCACGATCAGGTCCACCACATTTATCCTCATATCCCTCTGGCACAGGACAGCATTCCTTTGATGCAAATATTTCGCTGGGAAGACAAACTTTCGGGAACAGTGCAATGTTTGTTTCGACTAATGTAGATAACACAAATACTTTTAACAATATGGCTTCCATTTTAACAAATTTAGCTTCCATTTTTACGATATGAGTCTACGGCATAAGTCTTGAGTCTCCCAATATCGTCACATTCTGACGTATCCTTTCATTATATATAGCGTACGTGAAACTAACTTATTTGTGTTTTTCCTGATGTAATATTGAATATATATATATATATATACTCTGTTCTATTTTTATCTTTAAAAACGTCATGGTTTTATAGTCATGGTTTCTGGGAAAGACAAATTAGGTGGATTCTAAATATCGACTACTTTCTCAATACTTTTCTCGCTACTAATTAGTCCCTCGTCTGTCACGCTGTGTAATATACAATATATAGGTATACAATACATAATAACACTGGCATAGCAGGGCTCACAGTGAGCAGAACGTAACCTCCCTTGTCTTTATGTCTTTATCTCTGTCTGCTTGCCTGCGTGCCTGCCATATTGTTGTCACGGCCTGAAATATGAGATTTTTTTTAAAAATTGTATAGCAGCCTTAATGATAAAACATATCTATAAGGAAAACATTGCCTACCAGTCTGTCTTTTAGTATCAGCCAACAGTATATGAACTTTTTTGGTTCACTGTAAAACTGAAAAAAAAAACGATAAAATAATTTGCATGAAATGCCACTAGCAGCGGTTTACATAGACCACAATTAAAACACATTTTCTCCTTAAAATCCCAATAAAATTATTTTCTAATACGTGTACTCATAGACATAAAAATTTACCTCGCAAAAACATAACAAATACACCTCGGTTTAGTTATATATATCATGTATATTTAGACTCTTAACTTTGGAGTTAAAGCTCAACTTGTAAATTAATATTCCTATTTAGGATTAGTGGTTAACTAACTAAAACCCACTTACGTGAGATCTGTTTTCGTTTTTAAAACCAATTGTTTAAATCCTTTTTCGTTTTTGAAATTCATTTTCGTTTTTAAAATCCATTTTCGTTTTCAAATTCCGTTGTCATTTTTAAATGCATTATAAAACTTTACGTTTGTGCTAAGCTCTTTTGTTAGGTACAACAGCAACTATCTCTATGGTGTTTATGAGCTCCCACATGATTGGTCAATGTATGAACAGCTCTTCCAACACCGTGATTCACTCCCTGTTAATTTGAGCTCTGTGGACAAGAATTTTACTGGAAGGGAGGGGGGTTACGTACAAAGGAATGTAGGAAAGTTATGATAAGCACTGAAAAACTTCCAATCAGACATAGTTGATAAGGTATTTCAATTACAGTAAAAGTTTTTATATAATGATCACTGAATACCGGGTTCGAACGTACACAATTTACTGTGTGCCGAGACATGGTGTAAAGTAAGTTTGTACATAGACCCTCTCTATCATTTGTATCAGTTCGACATTTTTTTAAAAGCAGTTTAAAAATGATACAAATTTGCCTATGGAAATATACATTTATGATGCCATGTCTGGTTGTTAAAATTTATGTGAGAACATATTTAAAAAAAGCCATTTTCACGTACGTGGAATTGATGCGATGTCTCGTTGTTTAAATTTACGTGAGAACATACTTAAAACAGTCATTCTTACCATGGAGGTTTAATGGTTAGAATGACTACGGTGTCACCTTTGAATTGTACTGTGTTACGTGAGAACACACGTAAAAATACCCATTCTCACGCGTACATGTGAGTATGGTCGATTTCCGGTCCAACTCACGTACGTGAGAATCACGTGAACATGGCCATTTTTTGGCATTTTAAATACTTGCAAAGGGGTAAGATTTGACCTCAGTTCAGCAAGAAAAACTAGGCTGAGATACATTAGGACACACGTCGAATCGGGTTTTTTTTGCAAGTTGAGAAAATAAGGTAAACCAAACTAGGGTCGATAATATTCAGTACAGAAGTGTATCGAGATTTTCAGTCTTTTCATCGACCGGCCACCAAATATTTACTGCTACAACTGAATTTAACACTTTGTTTACTTCTGTATACATTATGTATATAAGTCAAGCTCTGATTAATTCGATGCTCGTTTTTAGTCGAAAATATCTGTTTGTGAGAATACCTTCACAGTGCGCATTGTTCTGCTCGCTCGAGCACTAATTGTAATTTTGACGTAAAATTTTACCAGACCGACGTGGCTTTGGCGTCGCTTTTTTTAGAGGAAAACACGTCAATATTTTCCTCGTTTTTCTGCTCTCTGCCAGTTAGCATTGCCCTTTTCACGTAACTGCCTCGATAATCAATTAACAAAAGCAAATAATAAGGATGCTGAAAAGAATAAATTGAGGACTTGTTTGTTTAAAGAAAATTTTGAGTTTGAAAATTATCTGTAAAATATAAATAATTTCAACCTCCGAAGAACGTTAAGTAAATTTAGACTCGGTGATCACAATCTAGAGATTAAACTAGGGAGAAGGAACAGACCAAAAATCTTGTAGATGACAGAACATGTAAAAGATGTAACATAAATTCACTTGATAATGAGAAGCATTTTATTCTTAAATAAAATATTTTTTGAAGATTGTGATCTCAAGTCTAATTTACCAGATGATATTTTTCTTGAGGTAATGAAAAATGCAAAAAAACTTTCACTATACCTTAAAGATACTATCTATAAATCCCCTGATTAAAAGTTGCGAGAATCTTGAAGTTATTATTATTATTTTGATATTTCATTGTGTCTTTTTCAGTTTTACTGTTTGCTTTTCAATTACATTTGTTCATTTATGTCTTGTTATTCTCTTAACCTTTGTCGGCATCCTTTTATTCATGTTTTGTCATATTACCTCAAACCCTGCAAATGGAAGTGTGCATAGAATCATGGGAAGAAACGGTGTGAATTGTCGTGTGATAGAGGTGATTGACAGGTCATACTTGTTTTCAACTCTGAAAGGACAGTTGGAATCTACCAGGTGTGCTTGTGATTTACATGACAAAGGGTGTTTACAACTTTGGAAGGAGAATTGGAATCTACCAGGTGTGCTGTTATTTGAATAACAAATGATGTTTATGATCTACTGAGTTGCCTGGGGCTAGCAAGATCACAATCTGATTGGCTCATGTGGAAATCCAGGTGGTGACACTGAATCATGCCTATAAATTGGACAGACTCAGGACAGTTGAAGTCCATCATTTCAACTTGATATCTGCTGTGTGCTGCTACGATATTGTGTGACAAGTGATACAGGCTAAAACCATCTTTCTGTGAGACTTGTATGAACTGCTCTGCGATCTTCTGCTTCCAGTGGTGCCCTCCACAATACCAGCGTTCTTCTGCAAGCACGACTACTGTATTTTTCGTTGTTGTGTTGCAGAAACCATTGACTGTTTTCCATTGCTACATCCTGGAACTGAGTTATCACCAATGCACACTTCTCTGGGCAATCCCCTATTTTTAGTGACTTTATTCATTGTATTTTCTGTGCTTTATTTCTTGTAATTACTTTGAGAGGTATTAAAGCCAGAAGCTTTAACTCGATATTTTGGTGTATGTGTATATCATTTCCAGTACAATTGTCTTGTCTACTCCATTATAGCAGTAAAATAACCTCCTGTCCAGTGTGAGATCTGTGGGTGTACCTCTCATTTGCGATAAGTAGGCCTTACACTGTGACAACCTTACTAAATCCTCTGATGATTTAGTTGTGTAATAAAGGTATTATTGGAAAGAGCGAACAGCCCTATTTTCAAAAGGAACACAGTCCCGCATCAGCATCTTGTGGAACCCGGTCCATCCATGTAACAAACAGTCACGGTTCGATTTGCGTTCGCGAACGATACAGTGTCATAGATTTAAATGTTCACAAAAAACAATAGAATACGGACGCACTAATACAATACAATACAATACAATACGGACGGTGGACAAATTTCCATGACCTGGAAAATAGTAGGCCAAAATCACAGACTACGAACCATTAACAGAATAAAAATCAGGAGACTACAGCCGATGATAAAATTAAAATAATTAAAAGCAGGCTCTGACCATGGACTTTTAGTTCCATAATCTGATTGACGAGCAAAAACATGCAATACAAGTAAACGACAGAATAAAAATTAAACAAGCCATGCATGGCATAGTCCCCGTTAGTTATATATAGTTCCATATTGATAGATATTGCTCTGGAAAAACATTATTTAAAACAAAATGGCCATTTTAAATACATCTGTATATCTATGACATGATTTTAATAAATATAATTTGACCATAATCAGTCAAATATGAGATATGGCCCGAAAACCACATTTATTAAAACAAAATTGCCACCAGTCAGCCATTTTGAATCCAACACAGAAAAGAAAGTGACGTGCTTCACGGAGACATGTCTCGTGTATGTAATAAGGTTGAACGGAATCCATCCATAAACGACTGAGATCCAGTTTCGAAATTCACTCTCGGGCGGCAATAAACGCCAAATGAAAATCACGACCGGAAATGGAGACCACAGGTATGTCTGGCCGTAAAAAATAGTCGGGCAAAAACACGAGTTGGGAAAATACTGTCACTTTATTTAACTATAGACTCTCATAATTCGCTAGCAGAACATGTACCAAACCGGACCATGAAAAAGGCTGTACCCTCACAGACCGTGGACGCCAAACACACGGTACTTCACACGAGACAGGGGCGTCGAACCATTCTGAAAAGTGAGGGGGACATTTTTGTGTCCGCGTAAACGGCCAATGTCCGCGCTTGCGCGAACAGGGGGGTGTCTGAGAAGGGGGGACTGCCCTATGTTACGACATCTCTATGTTCCGACACCACTATGTTCCGACACCCCTATGTTCCGACAAACAGTATACTTGTGTCAAACTTAATCTGACTAGCCGTGCGTGACCTTTTACTACCTTGATATAACCAGGATGTCATGTGGGTTAATACTGGAAATCCAACTGTAGTGTAGTCCGGCCATGATGCTCGAAAGTCCGTGAAGGCGGGATCTTGCATAATGTTATCGGGTAATTATCAGAGAATTATCCAACAATGTTGCCCATTGTATCATTCTAATACAATTATTTGACAATATCCGTGTCTGTTGGATGTGATTC